GCAGCTCTCACGAGTGTTCTCGCCGCCTTATCAGGCGTATCGCGTGCGATCGCGTTTCATTGCCGCCCGACAGGGCAACAAGGAATTGGTGGACTTTGTCCAAGAGATGCGTACTCTCATTCCCGGGATGGCAGCAGATCCCCGTCCGGAGGCGGTCACAGTGACCGTCTTTATGGAAGGCCTTCGCACTAGTGTGGCAAGAATGGAAGTTTTCCGTGTGCATTTGAAGAAGCGATGAATGTGGCATTGAATGCCGAATTCAATTTCAAGTCGGCACGACTTGGTTGGAATGCCTACTCCAACAGCTTGTCGAGCGGGTCTGTGCCCATGGACCTCAGATATGCTGAGGACGAGGGAGCAGAGCTCCGAGCTGCCGGGCAGCAAACAAACACACGACGGTGTTTTGTCTGTGAGGACACCCGTCATCTAAAGAACGGTTGCCCCGTGCGCAATCGCGCGTCAAGGTTCTTTGAACTATCTTCACAATGCCTCCCAGTCTGGTTTGTTACTGGGAAACGACACCGCCCAGTAGGCGCGGGGCGATCAACTGGGGAAGGACTGAGTTATGTTGAGCCTTAGGGAGGTATAGGTCAACTGAGCCCGGCCCCGAAGAGCTCCGTGCTCTTGAACACAGAACGTGTATGCAAGCCGGGATTGCTGGTCGTGGCGACCGTAAAGGCCTTCGAGAAGCCACGGAAGATCCTCATCGATTCCGGGGCGTCGGGCAATTATACTCGACGCTCCACCATGGAAGGAAGCCATCTGTATGCTGAGGCGCTGAAAGCGCGGCTGGGTGACAACGTCACCGTTTGCCTAGCGACGAGGACACGTGTCACGGTCCCGAAGGTCCCTGTGGACCTCGGACTTATTTTCCTTGACTTTGCTAGCGTGAAACGCTGTCTAGTCTTAGACTTCGATGCAAGGTATGACCTCATCCTAGAAATGACATAGTTGGAACACCATGAGCCATGGATTGATTGGAGGTCAAAGACTTTGGGCGCTACGGGCACA